AAACTATTTATTACTATGTTATGGCATCAACTGTATAAAAATAACATGTATCAAATAATGTCTGAAAATGATCCAGAGGACTTAAAACAACTAACATACCTTTGGTTTTACATTCAAACAAATCAAGCTAAAGAAAAGAAAATTCAAATCAAGGGAAGAGGAAGAGATAAGGATAAAGAAGATTTGTAAATTAATAAAACTGATATTGGCCTAATTTGAGGAAATAGAAATATTTATCCATGAAAAAGTGTGAATTAATCCATTGATATAACATGGCTTTTTCTTTTTGATATACGGTGCGGTTGTATATCCATTGGATATCTGTAATGAAAATACAAAACACTGTTTGACTTTAAATTATTTTCTTGTTTTCTTTCCTTCCCATCAGGTTATGTCAACGATTACGAAGCATAAGAAGAGACAGAAGCGGCGCTCAAGTTTTATGCGATCGCGTTCGCGGAAGTCTTTGCCCCAGTTAATATAGAAAGCTCAGGTGGGTCATTCGTGATTTGTTTAAAGTTCTTATTGCATTTGATTTAATCAGAGTTATATCTTTAATATTCAATGAGGGAGAAAGTTGGTAATCTATTTAAGAAAAGAAGTGTGGTTCATTATACATGTATGCTAGTACGGTAACCTGCATGTAAAAGAGTGGGTTTTTAGATAGACCTCAAAACGTAAGCTGGTTTTTATTTTTGTTTGTTTGTTTTGAGGTTTTTGTTTGTTGGTATGCCTCTGCCACCGAAGGCATTATTGTGTGTGTGTGTTTCATGTATTTTGTACTTTTGTTCTGATAAAATTTATTCCATATTTTGTTCCCATTGCAGAAATCCATCAGAAAATAGCAACAGATATCCCAGAAGAAAAGAGACTGGAACAGTTACAGCAGTCAAGTTTGAGGTATGTGAGCAGATATTTGCTAATCAGGCTTTGTATTGAGTGGAAATTGTATGAAGGGGGGGGGGGGGTGGTATATCTATCAAAAGTCTATAATTGCTAAGACTAATTCAATTGTAGATTTCTATGCTTTTTGCATTGCATAGAGCATGCCTATCACAAAAATGAGACATCCATCAGCCAAAAAACTAACTGGCTGTCACTGTTTAATAATAAAATAAATTCCTAACAAGCTTGAAGTTGCAAAAAAATTTTGTTCCTCCAAAGCATGCCTTTGAAAAGATGTAGAAAGAATATTACATAAATTCTTTTACACGTTACAAGATACCTTTCTCACCTGTAAGGAATATTGTACATCAAAGGGCAGGAATACATATCATTTTTCAGAATACCTACACTTATTCCTTTAACTACTTATGATAGTGGGAATTCATAATCTTTTTGTTCAATTCTCTTATCATTTCATGACATTCTCTGCTTACAACCGCCCCTATAATCTCTGTTCTTTACCTCACAGCTCTCTTTCCCTTTCTCTTTATATATCCTTCCCCTTCTCCTGACTCATCTCTTTTCTTTCCACCTCGATCTACTGTCCTTCTTCCTCTATTCACCTCTATCCCATTTGACTCGATAGTGCTCGTGCTATGGGTAATTTTACTTTGTTAATGTCTAAAATGTCAACGTCTATATATATTTATCACAATCTACCCTTTTCCAATTTAAAAAAAAAATAAATTATGCTATTGATGTTTGTAATACGGTATGTATTTTCATTGCTTGTAAAAATCCCACGTAACATTTCCATGTTTTTAACTTGAACAAATAAAATTGAATTGAATTGATACTTATGTCTTATTTTGTCTCTTTCTTTTCCATGTTTTGTTCAGTATACCATGCAGAAGCTTATGGCTGAGATACCTCTCTTTGACTCTGACAGTGAGCTACAATGTAAAAGTGAGTAGTTTTCTTTCTTTTTTTTTGTGTACAGTAGCTGTATAAAGTGGGGTGAATTCTTTTAAAGAGAACAAATGAATATCCACAGAAGAATGTGCACTTGTGTGCCAGAAGCAGTCAAATCATTTAAACGATGATCGGGAATTTGCCTATTCTCTTTTTCTTCTTCTTTTGTGATAGGTAATAAGTACCTGATAATCATTAAACTGTGTATTTGCTTAACTCCTTTTGTCATTGTATATTGATTACTTGTATATTTGAGGTATTTTCAATAATTAGTTTTTATTTGCACATTTTCAATGATTTCTTTGTACCGGTAACCCATTATATATATATATATATATTTGTGTGGGGTGATTTGTAAAGGACTTGTGTATTGAGAGTAATTAAAATTGTGGATTCCACTTGATATATTATATATATTTGATATATTAAATTTAAGCCTCACTTTGTACATAATTATGTTATTATTGTTTGCCACTGTCATTGATTTTTTTTCTTAAATTGTATGACATATAATTTAGGTCACAATTGATCCACATTTAACTTACAACTCAATCAGAATTCTAAAGTTCAACCTATCCCAAATATCGCACGTTATCCTTAACCGGCCTTAACCATGATCAAGTTTAATCCAGCTAAACTCCACGCCTTGCATGTAACTACATTCACTTGACTGAATGCAGCCTTGTGCAAATTGTCTGTCCAGAGCTAGAGGCCTCAACTCTGTACATACATGAGTTAGCACCCTTCTGGCTCCAAACAGACAAAACATTGCTAGAGAACAAACATCAGATTTAGACTTGGACTAAATGTTATGTGTGTGTGTAGTGGTGGTTATTTTACCTGACTGTTATTAAAAGAAAGCATTGTCAATGCTTGTTATTAAGCAACCAGAGGACCCATGGCATAGGTCCTCTCCGAGGGACCTGGTAACGCGGATTAATGCCTTACCAAAGGGCACTAACGCATCATCTTGGTGTCAAACCCGGGCGCGCCAGATTACGAGACCACTGCTCTACCAACTGAGCTATCGCGCCTGCGATCACGATAAAATTTCAATTATTCTTTCTTTTTCTCCCCTTCTTTTCTTTTCAGTGAGGAAAGCTTTTGAAGACACACTAGCAGATGTGGCTAAATCTGGCATCCTCACTCATGCATGCAAGAAAAATAGGTATGAAAAATTATGTTCTCATTTTATCACTACACAGATCAATGTTTTGACCATGCAGAGTTGAGAATTATTTATCACATTGCTTTAGAAGCATGGTACCTTGGGGTAAAATTACGGGATATTGAGAATGCTATACTTGAATACAATACTTGAATACTAAGTCTATGATTAAGCTTGATACTACCTGTACTCAAATGTATGCCATCATTTTCAGTTACAAAGGTGTTATAAACTGTGTTTATGGATAAAGAAATATTTGTCTTTATCTTCCTAAATTTTAAAATCAGGTCCTGAATTGTAAAGGTGCCAGAGAATAAAAGTATGATTGATGAACTATTTTGTAATTAAAAAACTGACTCACAAATGTTAATTGTTATTGATGTTTGTGAACATTTGGCCCTGTAATGGTTAATAATACCAAGTTACCCAGCCCTGGAGCCACCCCATCCCCCTCTCTCGAAAATAAATTATATAACCCTGGCTTATTCTAAGAAGCTGTTCGATGTTTGTATGTTTGAGGATTGCTTTACCTGACTGCTAATAAAGCATGTATAAATATGCTTGCAAGTATTAGCAACCAGGGGACTAAGAGCTTTAAGTCATCTCCAATAGACATGGTAATGAGGAGTAATGCCTTACCAAAGGGCACGAACGCATCGACTTGGTTTTTAACCCGGTTACAAGAACACTGCTCTACTCCTGAGCCACTGCACCTCCTCCTTTAGTAAATGTTTTGTACTGATATAGCGACGGTATCTGCCAGGCTCTGACGCTCATGACGCTTTACACATATTACCCTGGTTATTGCCGAGCTGCCAAAGTAACTAGCGCTCAAAGCATATCATGTACCCATTTACACCTGGGTGGAGAGTGGCAAATGTAGATTAACGTATTGCCAAAGGACATTGAACTCGTACCTTGTGATCTGCAGTCGGGTGACTTATCCACTAGACACCTTTCTTTTCTCATTAGTTTGGAGCCCAATCCATCCAACCTGGAGATGAATGAAGTCTTGATCAAGATGCAGTCTCATATCAGAAGACTGACGGAAGAAGGAGAGAAGTGGGATAGGTTACAGCAGGACCACACGCAGTCGACCCTTGATGCTGAGAAGTAAGTTCAAAGGTCCAGCTTGCTATGGCCATTTCATTCTTGCCCTTTAAAGGTGAAATTCAAAGAAAATCACAAATATGTCAACTAATGTATCACTAGAAACTGGTAAGCTAACAGATGGCCATCGTACAAGTTTTAGGTCAACTACATATCGGGTGATTTATAAAAATACAAATACAACCATCTCCATTGCAGCTGGGATATACGAGAGATTCACTGGAAAAATAACGATGTTTTAACGACGTCACTATATGGACCAATACTACCCAAGCAGATGACATTCCATAAAGAATGAATATAATGCAAAGCTATTATTTGTCAAATTATAATGAGTTTAGTGTATATAAATGTAATGGCATGTCAAGCCATTCAAAAGGAGATATGACCCGATTCTGATAACTAAAACCTTTTGCTTGTAAATACTCAGGATAGGGGTTAAATGACAATCAAAGAAACCAGACTTTCAAATTGAAAAGCCCCCGGAATGATAATAAGGACGGCATTTGTTCCCTCTTGAAACGCTGAACATACCGTGGTGTGTGCAGCTGAATATACAATAGCGTCTTATTTTGTTTACAAGCGACAGATTCCCTTACTTTTGTATCGCTGCATTTGTCATCAAAATAAAACCATGTGCGGGTTTAGAGTGAGGCAATAGATTATACGTTTAGCCTGATGGTAGTGAAGTAAGAGAAAGAACTCAAGAGAAGATGAAAACACAGGCACTGATAATGTGTTAGATGTCATGGGACATCGTCTGCTTGTGCAAATCATGTCCATACTATGATTTCACACATCTCAGCAGCGTTCGGAGAGCTCTTCAGGTGCTATGCCAGGGTTGTATTTAAGCGTGTTGTAATTTATAATAATCATTACTTTGAATGTTTCCAAGCATTGAATTTTGATAACCTTGTCGAATAAAAGTTTCAACTTTGCAATAATGAAAATAAAGTTAGTTTTTAAAGTCAATGAATAAAGGCATTGAATTTTGATAACCTTGTCGAATCAAAGTTTCAACTTTGCAATAATGAAAATAAAGTTAGTTTTTGAAGTCAATGAATATCTACTTTAACAGTTATCAACTAAATTATTCACAACCTTAACAAGTTTTGTGATTGTTTACATATGTGAAAAATTGATTTGTCCCGATTTATGTTTCTTGAGAATGTGAGATATTAATTATTCAACAAAGGCCCTAATTCGTACAGTCCACTCTTCATTCTTGAGTTACAAAAAAAACAAAAAAACATCAAAATTCACAAGGGTTATGAATAATTTAGTTGTTGACTGTATATCGCTGTGCACACTCTAACATTCATATTCCATATAGCAGTGCAACATGAGAATGATTGCTTTTGAAAATTTTCTCTTATAAACCGGTAAGTAGAAATGGTTTCTCAGAGCAAGTATTTCTTCACATGTTTTCTAGTCCCACATAACTATCCTTGTTGACTTGTCTAGTACATTCTTCACACTGTTATATTCAGCAAAAAATTTCAAAGTTTTGTAAATTGTTTTTTTCCCTTCAAAACCTCATGGTGTAATGTACATGGTTGTATATGATGGCTGAAATTTTGAGGTGACATTTTATTATTTCCCACTCCAATTCCATATATGGCAAGTGGCGACCATATATTATGTAAATAAGACCCAATTGTTATTATCGTTATTACATAGGATCGCTGCATCATCGTCAGAACCTACCACAGTGTCCAAGGCTCCGGACAGCTTGACCATCCAGCAGAGAAAGCTACTGGCTGACCTACCAGACCTTGGGAGCCTAGCAGAATGGACAAAAACTTCAGCCGAGGAAACGGCTCTACAGGTAAACCTTCTAAAGGCCCGGTCACACAGCCCTCCACGGGCGTATCGCGGCCGAATCACGGCCAAAAATTTCTGCCCGTGAAGCAGATGCTGTTGGACGCTTTGAGGTCGCGATAAAGACACGATACAGCCGTACTTTACCCGTCGTTACACGCGGTAAGAAATTCACACGCGGTTGGCCGCGCGAAAAAGTTTTGGGCTGCCCAAAAATTTAGACCGCGGGTAATCGCGGGCGGTACACGTGGTACACGTGGTACACACGCGGTAAAGACGCGGTACAGACGCGGAACGAACGTGCTAGGACGTGCTACGGCCACGGTTAAGACGTGGTTACACGCGGAATAGGACGCGAAATTTTAGCGGGTAATCGCGGGTGGAGCACGGTCATAGCACGTTTGTTCCGCGTCTGTACCGCGTTGTTATCACGTGCATTAGCGTGTGTACCGCGTGTAAGCGTGGTAGGCCGCGGTACCGCCGCGCTTCACCCGCGATAAGGACGCGGAACAGTCGCCGGCGTCTGTTCCGCGGGCATACCACGGGTAAACCGCGGGTAAGCCAATTTTGCACATTTTCCACCACGGGCAACCGCGGGCAAAAAAAAATCGCGAAATTTTACCCGCGATACAGACGCGAAAGGCTGTGTGACCGGGCCTTTAATCATGTTCAATGGACCAGTTTTAATACTACTGTAAATGTATGTATATTTATGCATGTTTCTTTCCAGAAAATTAAAGGTATAGACCAGTTTGGGTGATGTGATTGCATTGTGAAAGAAACATTGTTTAATCGATCAGAAAAGGTTGATCATCTTGCATATAAGTATTGGTGTGCACTGCAAGGTTCTGGAATCATCAAGATGATAAGAAATTTGGCCCAGTCTTGGTAAAGTTACAAGCACTGTACACAGAAAGATGTATATGGGACTATGCGTTTCTATCCAGTCCGGATAGATGCAATAATTTACCAAATATATCAATTAGTAGCCGGTTTCCCAGCAAAATTTGTATCATCCTGTATTAGTCAAAACATATTCTTTCACATGATTGGTAATAAGAGCTTCCACTTCATTTTTTGAGAGGGGGCCGTATCCAAAACTGGTCTATACCTTTAAATTGAGACATCTTTATGGGTAGATTTGATGTGTTTGTAAATTAGTTGTCTGCGTGCCTTGGCCAGTCGTTTGATTCAGAGCTAATTTGGTTAAAAGGAGTACTTGTAGTACTTGTGTCTAAAATTGAGTGCATTATTCCACTGGTATGTACTTTTATTTCCACAAGTACACCTTTTTCTATCCTCACATGACTTTGCAGCATTGTTTAGTGCTTCTGCATCTTTCTAGGAAGTAATAAATAAGATCACCCTGACACACTTGTAAAGGATACACACAAATTGCTCTCGCTGGTGAAGTTAGGCATCATGGAACAATATTTACATGAAAATAAAGTTTTTCTTTGCTTCCAAATATTATACAGTTAACAACTAAATTATTCATATCCTTACCAAGTTTTGTACTTTTTTAAGTATGTGTAAAAAAGTCCCAATTTATGTATTCTTGAGAATATGAGCTTTTCAAAAGCTTTCATCCAAAAGTATTCAACAAAGGCCTTAATTCATCCAGTCTTCTTTTCATTCTTGACTTACGAAAGATACAAAAAACCATCAAATTTCCAAGAGGCATGAATAATTTAGTTGTTACCTTTATGGTGTGAGCTAGCCATGGGCATAGTAGGCAATTAATTCCTGCAAGGCTCTCTTTGAAACAAGTTTAAAGTTACAATGCTGTATTGTATCTATATTTCTTTCTTTTTTTTTATTAAAAAAAACAGATTGCCAAAGTACACCAGACTGGCAAACAGATGATGAAGTACAAAGATTCAATGGAGGGTTATCTCCAACACGAACTTGAGATATTTGGTGAGTACCAATGGTTTATTGCTGTTTGGTCTACAACCAGTTAGTCTACTACCCAATTAGTCTACCGGTAGTCCAATATGGTATACACCAGCCCGTCTACTATACATATGGTCTTACAATCATTTAATCATAGATAATGATAATAATCTAATAATTATTAGATCTTATGGATAGTAGACGAAAATGGCATTAGACAGACTGGGATTTAGACTAAGGCGAGGCGTCAAAAATATCGATACCAGCAGGCTGCCGCCTCACGTATTGGCGCATCGAGGCTGCAATTACGGCCGAAGCCTGGCTGAGGCAATTATTTTTCACTTATTAGCCCAGCCGGCTTGCGCCAGGCTGGGATCTGAGGCTCGGTTTCCATTCGAAAGGCGGCAGCCGGCGCATGCTTTTGAATGCCATTGCCTACCGCCAGCGGTAGCCGGCTGAGCTAATTTAAAAAATGCAGCCAGGACGCACAAGTGCAGTTAGCTGCCGCTGGCTGGTATATTTATTTTTGACGCCTCGCCTAACAGGTTATTAGACTAAATGAACAATAGGTCAAGTGAGTAGTAGACTTTTTAGAGATTAGACCATATGGAAATTAGACTGAATAGCTATTAGCTTAAATGGTCATTAGACCAAATGATAAGTTGACCAAATGATTATTAGACTATGTGGATACTAGACGGGCTGGGTATAGACAATATGGGCATAGACTAATTGGATAGAAGACGAATTGGTAGTTGACCAAACGGCAATTCACCAGTACCAGTACCAAAGAGGATTTGTAACACACTCATGGAAGCAGTAGTTGCATATCACTGATAATGATAACTAATATTATGAATCTGAGAATTCAGTGTGGAAAGGCTCATGAGCATAATTCTACGGAAGCATAAAAGTACCACCAATCTACTACAACTGACTGGTAATCAATATGTTAATGCATACATCCCACCTGCATGAAGAACCAATTTCACCATAGTTCATCTTGGATTAATGTAAAGATTCTAGAATGTTGTGGTCATTCTTAATTTTAGAGTTTGTTTGTTATCACTCCTGCTAGCGGGCCCTGCTTCAGTTTTCACTATTAGTACTATAAAATGGTTCACCCAATAGAATCACCTTGTTTTCCTATCATCTTGTCAATTCATTTTTTACTGTCTTTAACATGTTATACAGCTGTGGAGTCTTTTGATGGCTACCAAGATATCATGGATCCCAGAAAGTTGCTCTCCAAGGCTGGAACAAATGCCCAAGAAAGCCAAGCCTAAGCCGTCCTTGTAGCAATGAACTGTGCTGATGCAGTGTTATCAAAGAACAGACCGTGGTCGTGTTTGACAAGTGGCTTTGCTTTGAGTTCATTTTGGCTGTAAGTAAGCCAACTGTATGAACATACAAAGTATCAAGACATCGCTTATTCCAGGAAGCTGCTCACAAAGGCTGAAACCAATGCCCAAGGAAGCCAAGGCTAACTTCACTTGTAGCAATGGGCTTTGGCCACCACTGACTGGTGAGTGGCTATATGTTTGAGATCATTTGGGCTGGGAATAAGCCAGCAGTATATGTAAAATCCCAAGAAGTAACGGATTCTAGAACATCGCTCTAGAAGGCCACAACAAATGCTCAAGAGTAGGTATGCATCTTGCTAATGCAGTGCTCTGGAGAAAAAAAAACATTATCTGACTTGTAGAAACTTCTGATTTTCATCTAATACCAACTTTGCTGGAAGTAAGCCAGGTTAGCCAGCTGTGTAAATATAAGTAGTACCGAGATATTAGTGCTAACAGAATGTTGCTCACAAACGCTTGAACCAATGCTCAAGAAAGCGACGTCTTTGACTTTTAGCCTTATCACTAGTCATAAGTTGAGTCAATGCTGTGTTATTGAAAAACAGACTAGCTTTAAGAAACCAGCAGCTTTTACTTGACATCATTTACAGACCAGTGGCTTATATCTGCTATAATTAGGCTTGGACTAAGCCGGCTGTGTTCCTTATACAATACACCAGTTTACGGTTAGGGGGGCCATTTTAATTCGCGAGTAATTCGAGACCTAGAGGTCATGTATTTATGCGTAAATTAAGATTGCGCCCATGCAAATTATGATGACATCACTGCCTACGCGCTGCGTTGTGCGCGCACATCATCATTTGCATCGGCACAATCTTAATTTACGCATAAATACAATTAAAATGGCGCCCATGTCTGCGCATGTGCACTGATGTAACCGTTAACCGGTGTATTGAAGACATGTTGACCTCAAGACAATGGTCTCAAAGTTAATGGTCATAAAAGTTCAGCCAAACCTGCTCTAGTGTCCAACTAGCCAATGACATGCTGATGCAGTCTTATCAAAGAATGTACGGTGGCTTCAGCTGACTAATGGCTATGGTTTGAGATCATTTGGATTTGATAAAAGCCAGCTTCCATTAATTTCCCATTCTATCTAACATAGCAAAAACAAATACATACTAAATGTCAATTAACAATACATATTTATGGACCAGCTTATAGTATAATGCCCATATTACTACAGTATGTTAGCAGAGGTTCAGTCATATACCATTTTCGTAATGTAATCAAATTTAATGCACAAATCTTTGTTGTGTGCCTTGTTACCTATTACAGTATTTCATTCACCTGTTACGAATAATTGTATTTCAATAGTCAGAATGTGAATTGCATACATTAGTTGTTGCCAGATAGGACAAATATTATGGCTTGTCCTAGTCCTACCTAACATCACCTCGCATTACAAAAATGGTCTATATGTTTGAGCGCATTCACAAAGTGGGAGAATACTGTAGGAAATGACAGTCATTCAAAACATTTCCAATATCTGTGCTTATGAATAGTGACCATAATTTGACTAGTGAATGCATTAACATTCAGTGCTGACACTTGTCATATGATCTGTTGAGAGCCAGGGCCCTGTTTCATAAAATTTGTTATCAATAGACTAGTTCATGGTTAGCACATTACTGCAATGACCCTGAATATCCACAGATCTTCAAAGCATGAAGAGGTCCCACTTTGTACATTTTAAAATAATCCCTCCTACAGCGATGGAGGTGCTATATAAATAGCCTTTGTTTCCCATTTTCAAAGAATACTTTCACCTGTGTATCATGGAGTGCACTGCTTGTGCATGAGTGAATAATGATTACGTACATGTAACTTTATGAGCACGTATCCAGTATTTCGTCACCGTGTATTTCAAACTTTGTTCTGCAATGACCTTTATCTGCTCATGCTCGGACTGCAACCGTGAACTGGCTTATAATGAATGCTAGGGGTTCTATGACAAATTTGCTGTCAGTCAATCAAATACCATGATTTCAGTAGCTTATCACAGTTATTTAAACTTGTTATTAATGAGAAGTTTTATGAAACCAGGCCCAGAAGGGCATCAGCTCATTAATTTTAATCTCGGTTCATGCTTTTGTGGCTTTTGTTGCAAATGATATGACACTGTCAGTTCAGACATTGCATTTGCATTTGCCAAAAAACAAATGAAATTAGTACTATTTAATTTATAAATTGTGTAAATTTACAGTTATCCATGACAGAGGACTAAGCAAACATTTCCTTATTGTGACTATTGAAGTGTTTTATGATATCCTTAGTGGAGAGCGAGGAGGGCATGAGGTCTCTGTAATATTCATAACAGTTACGCCCTTATGGCTCACATTATCAATTTCTAAAACTCATTTTGAATGTTATTTTGTAAGACAGTGATAAGAAAATGTAACAGATATGACGAAAAAGGGCAATTTTTCACTATTCCCATAGGTGATTTTCATGATTTTTTTTTTTGCATCTTAAGTTGATATATTTTTACTCTTATATTACTCTGTAATTATGCTGTAAATTGTAATTGTGTGAAATAATGCATTTTGTATAAATTGTACAAAACTAAAGCTAATAATATGAAATTACATTATACCAACAAAGATACTTGCTTCATTTATTTTGCGTGATTTATAGTTCCTTAATTTAGTCCAGTATTTTTAAAAACAAAAAAGTTTGATATGTAATTTTTTGTTTAAATAAGTATTGTCGTGCTATTCACATGGGAAAGGAGGGTGTCCAAATGACGTGGTTCTAATGTTGATTTCATGACGATTTGATATCTGTAGGGATATACATGTATTTCAAATAGTAAGAGTCCCAATGAAGATGAAAAGGATGGTGCTGACGGTAATGATGATGGTGGAGACAATGATGGAGAAGAATTAGAGAGAGACAGACAGACAGACAGACAGGGGGGGGGGGGGGGGGGGGGGGGGGTAAAAAAAGAAGAGTTAAAAAAGTATGGAAAAGGTGAAGAAACGAAGATGAAAATGAGAGGTTAGAGTGATTACATGGAACAGTAAATCGTGGAACAATTTCCTTTTTTCATCAAGGGTTTGGGATTTCTTCCTTTCTTCTTGTTTTTCTTTCTATACTTTTTTCTTTTCTTTCTTTCTTTCTTTCTTTCTGTCTTTCTTTCTGTATTTCTGTCTTTTTTATATATTTTTTTTTCTCTCTCTCTATCTATATAACTTTCTTAGTTCCTTGTATTTCCTTCTTCCTCCTTTCTTTCTTTGCTCTTTCTTCATGTTTGTTTGTCTCTATGTTTCTTTCACAGTTATTTTTTCTCTTTCTCTCTGAACTTAGATAACCAATTAAAACCGGCAACATTCTAATTCCCCACTCTCCATTATTGATAGAAATTGAATACATTGATACATGATGTTGGTGGTAGGGGGCACTCTGAAGACAGGGTACAGAGTAGTCAAAGAGACACGCATGACTGTTCGCACGATCACTATATCATTACAATATATATATATGTATATAGATATATGAGTTGCTCCTACAGTTGAGCACTGTCAGAAATTGCAGTTTCACTAAACTTGCTTATATATATATATATATATATATATAATTATTTTCTCAAATCAAATTCATATTGTACAAATCAATCTTAACAAAACTGGATACATTGTACATTGATATTTCGGATTAATCATACCCCCACCACCTCCACTCACACACAAACACACACAAGGATGAAATTTTAAATTTAACTTGTCAAATTAGTTTTTGTCATTATTTATGCTGTTTATGAATTGTTTCAAAACAAAATATTATATCATATATTGTATATAATCTTATTATATTATATCATTTTAAATTATCGTTATTATTATACTACTATCGTTATTTGTATCATTTCGTTGAATTCGTTTCAATTGAAATATAAAACACTGTTCTGTTGTGTAATCAAGTGCTCGACAATTTCGTTTTGGCGAATAACATAAAATGTAGTAGACTGCAATTATGAATAACCTTCAATGCCTAGCTGTATGAGCATAACATACATGTTTTGATCGTACGCAGTGAACTTTTGAGGAGGCTTTATGAACAAAATCAAGATTTGACATTTTACAAAGTTGGATCCATCCTTTAAAGGCGCCCGGAGAAATTAGACTGCACAATACATAGGGGGAAGACAGACTAGCTTGCATCCATGCCCCGTATGTTCGTTCGCGAATCTATATTCGATTGCAGAGAAGCAACCGCATCCGATGACTAAGCGTGCATTTGCAAATTGTCGGGAGGCTTCAAGTAGGCACTCTCAATTTTGAGCCCGTCCGCGTTTGACGCGCGAAAAACGCGGACAGCACACGGCACGGCACGAACTCGATATCGTATGTACAGCACACGCGCACGCTATTTGGGGGAGTGGATGCAAGGTGCATGGGGAGTTCGGAAGGAAAAAGTCGAGACGCCGGCATTTGTTAACTTAAAGTTATACAGCGATCAAATCCCCACCACCGGTTCGCCTCAAGTGCCGTGAAAAGAGACTGTGCATATGTGTTTATTGGGCGAAAGTGTTTTTAATGAAGCGCTGCGTGAAGGAGACACCCACAGTCGCGGAAAAGGATATTAGAGACATGCACACCACCTCGCTACTGTAGTGACATTGGATACTGTCCTTATTGTGGGTGAAGGTGCACTGGATTTCATGAGCTTCTGATTTTCGGTGGATGCTTTAAAGGGGTGCGTACCCTGCATCTGGCTGGATACATGTGTTCAACGCACAGTCTGTGTTTCAGCATTAAGGCGTGACATGCGAACGGAATTACACCCATGTGGAATTAAATGGAATATATGTACTAGCTTCATAACTGTTCGAGTTTGCTTAATCAGTGACAGTGTATGTTTACAGTTACATTCAATATAAAGTTCAATTTGTGTGATATTGATAAGCTGTGGAAATCGCGATTTTTACAAATGAATCAACCCAATTTAGTGTAAATGTTATGCATATTGGATAATGATTCCGTCGAATTCAGTATGCCTTTTTAATGATGTACGTGCATAAAATGTGGCCATTAACTTGAACTTAAATTTGTACAAATACGAGTGTTTGAGATAAAGCCTATCCAACATTGTGCATCGAAATCTCGTATTTGTATTCGTGCTATTATCGCGAAATCGAGACTGAAAGTGGCCTTCTCAAAACAAGGAAATGACATACATTGTGGACAATCTTAGCATGATAAATGTGGTAAACCTACGGAGGATGTAGACTTTGGACCTGTTCGTGGAGAAAGCACTTTGACAGGGCGACTCTGTATCTTATCTGACGGATGTCCTTACAGCTGTTTTAATTGAGTAACATTATTGTGTCATCGCCCTGTTGCTATGCTTTGCGAGTGGATCTTGTCCTATCCTACATGTACTACCGGTGACCCTGCAGCCCATGTGCTCTGCAGTCGTCGCTCTTCCCCCTTTATGACAGGTTAATCCCACTTCCTGTGCGCTTGGCCGCAGACGCTTTATTCATCGCTGACTGGACGTGGATCCCTCCACTTTAATGAGCAATAATTATTAAACGGAGAAAGAAAACATTCATAATTCTGTGGGCGGTTTCGATCTACCCAGCGAGGTAGCACCGGTGGCTAGCTTCCAGTTACCTTGATCGCGGAGGAAGTAAACGCTGCAATAAAGATGGGAGGTCAGAATGGAAAGTTACGGAGGAACAATGGCCTGCGTCCGGAGAGCAACGCCTCGCTGTATGGCCTCTGTATGGGACAGCCGTCTCAGGTCTTTTACAGCAAGAGCTTAGAGAACTGCAGCTTGAAATTGTACCGGACCGAATCATGCAATGGTGCACCGACGACGGACCACGACGAGGTGGTCGTTCTTTTGGACTGTGGTGGAAGGGTGTACGCCAATGGCAAACGAGTGTACCCCTTTGATGGTTCTACCGGGGGCTTTGGGTGCACCTCGACGTCAGTTATGGACATTCCAGCAGAGTTCCCGAGTGTACGGTGGTCCGGTGAAATTGCTCGTATCCCAGGCGATTCTTACAAGATTGTCGGCGGTGATGATAAGATGGTCCAACCAGGAGATTATGCTGGGGCCCTCAACGTCTTACTCTCTCTAATATCAGAAACCTTCGACCAGTTGCTGAAAGACGGTTTAAAAATGC